ACAGAAGAAAAAAAATCTTGTAAAACTACAACTTCCATGATTCTATAGCATTAAGACATGGCAGTTAAAGTGGTGTTAAACTGCATTGATTTGGCAGTGTAGATGTACCCAATGTCAGCCTTATTTATTTCAATGCTGTCCGTATTGCTGTCTATCCCTTGAGGGTCAGAGATCAGTATTAGGTTAATCTGATGTATACTAAAGATTTGTGAGACAATAATTGTGTAATTATAAATATTGTTCTAACTGGTGCAGCCAAGTACCATTATAACATAACACTTATTTACTGTAAATTCAGAAGACTTTTTATATATCCTAAGTAAATAAATATATTCAAAATACAATAGATCTGGTTTTATAGACAGAAAATACAGAGATACAGCAGTATACGAGTTGTATTTTTAAACTCTTGGGTACAATTGTTGAGCACAGTCATCTTATAGTACTAACCTATGCCTATCTATTGAGGAATCAACCCAGATATGTGTGTATAGCATGAGTGGGGAACGTGAGCCATGCAGAATATTATGCTCTACAACTCCTGTAATCTCTAACAATTGTCCATGCAGGCTGGAGCTACTCAGGAATTGTACTCTGATATTTGGACTGCCACAGTTTCATCATCTAGTGTTATAATGAGAATGCAGTCTGTGCTTTCTTCACCCCAGTTAACTTCATGTATTCCTCTCAATATACCTGATATTCTTCCTTTGAGCATTAAAAGTTGGGAGAATGATTCTAAAATTGAATTGGGTATGCTTGTTACCCTAAGCTATCAAAAGTATGCATACAATGCATATCTTGCAGCAGTCTGGAGATATATTACATTTTTCTTATATTTGTAATTCACCGCTGGAAAACCACAAAGAGATAGATAAAAATGGCAGTATGTAATCAAGCAATTAACATTACAGTTGCCCACAAAACAGTAAATCACACAGAATATGGATTATACCAGTTTGGATTGGATGGAGAAATACACATGGCTCCCTGTCCAAACATATTCTCTGTACACAGAGGATTAACAGCTGGGGGGAAAAAACTGTTTTAGCCTAGTTTTTACGTTAACTTGCTAGTTTTCTACATTCACTTACAATTTGCTGAGAAAATAGTTTATCACTCCCACTTTTACTGTTTGTAAGAATGATATGTTTGATCTCATGTCTTGGTTGAATGAGTTTGGAGCCTCTTTCCAATCTATCCTAGGTGGAAGGAATGTATCAGGAGAGAAGATGGCTAAAATATACTGTTTTTTCTCCATTCTCAGTCCAAAAGTCAGAATTAACCAGCATGTCATAGCCATTGCTAGACAAGCTGGAAGAGACTGGAGACAGTAAGACTAGGACCCAAGTTCAGATCCTTTCTTTTCACTATTCTCTCCTTCCTTCCTTCCTTCCTTCCTTCCTTTCCTTCCTTCCTTCCTTCCTTCCTTCCTTCCTTCCTTCCTTCCTTCTCTTCTTACCTTCCCTTCAAAAAGGCAACTAACAAATATTAAAGAAATACATTGAAATATAAACAGAAATCAGAATTAAACAAAGCAACAAAAAGAAGCAAACATTACCTAACCAGATAAAAAGAGCTTTCCATGCTAGCAGAAGGACAACAGAGAAGGTAGCTTGGATTCTAGGCATGCATAGAGTCGCTCGGATAACTCGTAACTCATAATAATTCCGTTGAAATTACATTTTTGAAGGGATTTTGTAGCTTTTAAAAACCGGAAGTTCCTTTGCCCTTCTGAAGCTTTTTTCCGCCATTTTTGTTATGACTCAGGAAGTGAGTCGGAAATGATTCAGCTTTTCCCTTCTGGTCCCTGGCCTTGGCTCAAGCCAGAGAAGCCAGTTTTAAAGCCAGAGAAGCCAGTTTTAAACCAGAGAAGGAAGGAATTTCCTAGCCTCGGCTCAAGCCAGTTTTAAACCAGAGAAGGAAGGAATTTCCTCCGCTTGCTTTTCCCCGCTTCTGGTCCATGGCCTCAGCTCAAGCCAGAGAAGCCAGCTTTAAACCAGAGAAGGAAAGAATTTCCTCTGCTTGCTTTTCCCTTCTTCTGGAGTAAAACAACTACTTTCAAAGTAAAACCACCCAATAAAACAGGAAATAACACTTTCAAACCATTAATGAAAGGATTCGTAAGTCTCGGAAGTTTCTAAAAGTTTTGAATTTTTTTTTCTGTGAAAATCAGAATTGACTTTAGAATCAAACCACCAGTGCCCCCTACATCCGAAACAAGTTTTGAACCATTTTTTTAATCAACCTACTAGATTCACTTGTTAGGAAGTTGCAGAACTTGGAAGCATTCATGGAGAAGTCATTTCTCGTGTTTCCATTGTTTATGACTGTATTGGGGGTGGCACTGAGAGGAGGGTCTGCTCTGAAGATCTCAAAACTTGGTCAAGCAAGAACTTTGGGTTTCACATAGCCTGTTTTCAAGCCAAGAGCATGGCTAGTACTTTGCATTATGCCTGGAAATGCGGCTGTTGTAACAAGGTAGTGTTCTCTGTGATTGGCCCAAATAAATCGCCTGGACAAACTATTGTGAACCAGTAGGAGTTTTTCATGCAGAGTGAATTACAGCAGTTCAAATGAGAGGAAAACAAGGCAAGTATTATTATGGTCAAATCTGACAAGCCCAGGAACAGGCAAAAAATGCCTACTGGCCTTAGCCATGCCAATGGATTCCTTGTCACTGCTGAAAGCTGAGCATGTGGGTTTGTAGTGAATGTGGGAGTACCTCCAATTGCTAATAGGAGAAGAGAAGAAAAAGAAACTCACAAATGCTGGTTCTACACACTTCAAATGTATGAAAAAATGCCTGCCAAATACAGACTAATAAATCCATACTGGCAATTTCATCTCAAAATAATGTGAATTTGCATCACCGATTTAATTCATTACATTTCAATTGTGTTGACAGCAGCTCAGTTTATTTTCTGGAAAGCTCAGGGTAGGTATCAATGGATTTTGTTAAAAAAAACAATAACAACATCAACAACAATAGAGTAATGTTAGTGGTTCCTATCTGCAATAATCTAATGCTGACAGAGAGTAGTATTTTATTTAGTAATTAACAGTGTAAAGGGGAGAGAAGCTGTCATGTTGGTTCTTAAGCTGGGGAATGTGATGAAAGATGATATCTCCGATCTCATCCTTTCCACTTGTTTAGGATTGTCAGGATGAGAAATGTCAGCATTATGAAAGCTCAGCTCTGCTCTTGATATGATAAAACCCTTCAAAAGCCAGTCTCTCTCCCTCCCTCCTCCCCTCCTTTCTCTCTCCCTGCACTTGCTTCTTCTTTTTTATTTATCCTGTTTTGTTAGATGGCAGAAATATAATTCTTTTCTTTCTTCCTATTATCAGCCACCATTTTTGTTTTATTATATGTTTCACAACCCCTAATGTCCCACTGAAAATTACCTTGTTAAATGACAGTGTTTCAAAGCCATGAATCCTCACCCCCAGCCCATTTCCTCTGAGGTTTGAAACAGTCAACAGACTGTAAAGAATAAATAATAAAAAAGTATTGATTATTTTGATGACTGTGAGATTCAATTAAGTATTAATTTTGCCCTCCAGTGGACCTATCAAGGTATTCAAAAGGGAGGATTCGGCTTGAACTAAATGCGCACTGAGTGCTTCAGCCTTAAATAGGGAGAAAATGTGTTTACCTACAGTATTTGAAGAAGAGTGCATTGATGCACAGAGTCCAATATTTAAGTGCTGTGCAAATTAAACCCTGGTGACAGTGACATTGTTTTCGGCGATATGAGTATTGACTAAAGAAGTGCATTTGATGACAGTTTAAACTATTTGTATTGATTAACATTTTCATAGATTATCATGTGTCATATCAAATTCACTTTTCAGACATGAATACATTAAAGAAACCCATAGGCAACCATCGACCAATGTGCGAATGGGCAGAGGGAACATGCTAACCAACCTACGTGTACGCTGGTCACCTGTTCTCTGCATAAGAACCATTTAGGCATGAATTTAGCAATAAATAGTTCTGGGATCGCGCAAGTTCCGTTGCTTCTTTTTTTCATTCTCTCCTTGCCTATCCTCTGATTTTGTTGCTTGATTGGCAAAACAAATGACTCTCTTTGGAAGTCATAACTGACCTGTTTTACTCCAAAGCCCAAAACCTCTGAAAGAGAAGATAAAATAGATTTAGCTAATTAAAAAATTACTTAATATATTTCATAAATGCCTATCCATTATGGAAACATAATGCCCCAAATTCAAGAATGATTGAAAACATTTTGTAAGTATTTTTTCACATATTTTGTCTTTTGCAAATGTGTATGTGTTTGTTTTATTTGTCTCTATAACTGTATATTTTTCGTTAAGTGGGAAATTATGGGCTTTTGAAGCTTAGCACCCAAAGACAAGAGGGTAAAGGTTTGTTTTGTCTTGATTGTTTCTGCTTACATGAAATATGTCTGTTTTATTCTTAAAATGCTATGTCGTGTTGTAGAAACATTTATTTGGACTGTGATTATTGCTGTTTTGCTTCTCCTTTGATTAGTGCTGTACCAACAAAAATGCTTTTTCTTTTTGAGAGAGAACTCTGGGATGTTCACAAGCTTTAAAATAAATGCACTGCTGGACAGCCACCCCCTCCTTTTCCACATTAAAGTAAAGAGAGAGGTGTAAAAATGCACACATAAAGAAGCACATCCCACAATTAAAGCTGTGTTGGGTATGTAGCTTTCACTGAAGTTTTCTCTCCAAAGCATCCGGAATCTCTCACATGCTAGTTGAGCTTTAATAGGGTGGGGAGTAATGGAAAACTCATTGGATCTGTAATAGCTCTTCACTTGACTGCAGCCAGCAATAACAGCAGGAGCAGCCAGAGATAAGAGAAAGAGAGAGAGAGTGTGTGTATATGTGTGTATGTGTGTGTGTAAGAGAGAGAAAGGGAGAGAAAGAGAGGGAGTGGAAGATAGAATACGCACACCAAAGCTGCCACTTTTCCCCCCTCACTCTTTTTCCCCCCATCCTAGGATCCAATGATAGCTGGACAAGTCAGTAAGCCCTTGCTGTCACTGCGGAGTGAAATGAATGCAGAGTTGAGAGGTGAGGACAAGGCAGCTGCTTCAGACAACGAGCTGAATGAGCCCCTGCTTGTGCCTGTGGAATCAAATGACAACGAGGACACTCCCAGCAAGCTCTTCGGTAAGTCTGCCTAGGTATTTTGTGTTTGGAGTGTTGTTGCCTCGGCACTGGTGCCACAGAATCAGAGACCAGAGAAAGGAGATGCATTGATAATAATATTTGGTAGGACCAACTTTGGCTGCGGAAGACCACGTACACGCTTTCTCTGTCCAGCTTAAAAGAGAGTGCTTGACAACTGAAAAAAGTTTAGTCTGAGAAATGTCATTGTATCATCAACTTTAGCTGCAATATACAAATCACATCTTCTGGTGTAGTGTCTTTAACATCAGTGGGACCGTAGCAATACGACCCTTGCTGAAGTGGTTGTCTTTTGGGTATTAGTGTTGCCAGGTTTTCCAGAAAAGTAATGTGTTTGATGTTGTTAAGATTAAGTATGTTAATTGAAATTTGTGGGGGCACAATCAAAGACTCAGGTTTTCCTAGCTCGCTTCTTTTTAATGGTTTTTCCGAGCACTTTGCTCCACGGCAAACTTTTCTTCAGCATTTTAAAGAGTTCCCCCCTCTTTTCCTTTTGTTTGTAGGTCTTTTTAAAAGGGGATCAGGTTTCTTTTATCTTCTCATAATATCCAGTATTACACTATTCTAGAAAACCTTTTGGGATAGGTCAGTACAAGTTTAAGAATTATTCATTATGTGTTCTAAATTAAAGCAGGAAACGAAGATGTGTTGTTTCTTGGAAAGGTCTTTATTTAGAAGGAAAATAGCTCTCCCTCTGTGATTGCATGAAGATATATACATAAAATATATATTAATAGCTTACTGCCTTTCAGCAATATTTGCTTTGTATTCAAAATCAAAAGAAAAAAAGAAGTTGTGTCAGGGGCACTTCAACCCAGACATCTGTCATTCAAACCAGTGACACCCTGTAAGACAACTCAAGCAACTGTAATCTCTAATCAGAAAAGGGAGCAGAGCGTGTTCGGGGGTGTGCTTGAATGATAGATGTTGATATACGTCTGTGCCGGCACAGCACCACATAGTACAATGTGACATTTGGATTCGACAGGAATTGCATCGGAACGAGTTCCTCTTAATTGTTTCCACGTGCAACATTTTAACGGAAGAATTTGCAAGCATGTATGGGAAACATGCATTGTGTGTTTTACAAAGTGTCTTTTTTGAGAAAGAAACACAACTTTTAAAACACATTTTAAAAAATAGAGCTGGAGATATGCTTAGATGTCTGTATTTTTGCTCCAGCATGAAGCAGCAAAACGATTTTTGCAAAAGGGCCATGCAATTTTGATCAGAAGAGAGGTCCTATCATTTTTAGAGAGACAGGTAGATGCACAAAAATAATGAAATTATTGAATGTGTTCAACTGAGCCATTATAATTGAATTGCATGAGACCTATTATAAATTATCGTTTCTGTTTAAATAAAAATTGATACCTCTTTCATGAAAAAAAATCCTTTTCTTTTGGGAATATTTAGCTGCCATGTAATTATACCAGTTGCCTTCAGGGAATCAGCTGTGATACCGGTGTTTTTTAAAAAAATAATGAAAAGCCTGTATTACAAGCTAGAATCTAAACAATTTCAATAATCTTTTCCAGACATTCTTATAATTTGAAGAAAAGAGATAAATAATATATTTCTGCTTTGGTAGTTCAATAATCAGAGCAATTCACACAGAGATATATATAGCTTAAATAAAATATTAGTATTATGTTGCTGATTTTGCTGAATGTTTCAGGCAAGTTTCATAATAAAGAGTAACAACTCACAACATAGCATTCTACTGTTATTTATCATAGTAGAAAACTTCTGTTCACTACTGCTAGAATTAAAAACACCTTTGTAGTATTAGTAAATTTCTAAACTTTCATAAAATTGAATTACAAGAGGTGAATTAATGTTGAAAAATATTCAAAACATTTGGTCTAAATTTGATATTTGTAAATAAATATAGGCATGAATCAGAACACTGTTCACTTAACCACTTCGTAAACCCTTTGATTTAAGCATTTAGCATGGTAAAACTATTCATACTTACTCAAAAGTAAATCCCATCCAGGTCAATGGTGTTTACTACTTGGAACTTAAAAGTGTTTAATTTGGCCATGTGATGTGTTGTGATAACAGTTATCAAATCAGCATCTAGATCATGTCCTTCGTTTGCATGTAATTGAACTTGTAGAAAGAAGCTGGTGAAAACTCTTGTTTATCTGCCTGGTGTGCAAACCTACATATGCATACCTAGGAATAGCCCTGCATTGATCTCAGTGGGACTAGCTAGGTGAGGATTACACTGTACAGATCTATCCTATGCATAGTTTTTCAGAAGGAAAACCTATTTCGATCAATGAAACTTAAATACATGTAAAGGTGTATTGGGTTGCAGTCTTCATCATTAGTGGCCCTCCTGATATTAGTGGCAGTGTTTGGAGTGGGGGGAGCCTTTCCACTCCCCTTTGACTATCCTTCAGGGCTATTGGTACTTTGCATTCTGATTTTATATCTGTATTTGCAAGCTTTAAGAAAAGTTGAAGAAAATGAAAGGGATTACATGTTAGCTGTAGAAGGCAAGAATCTTGTGTTTCCCTCTTGTGCACACAAACACACATTTGAAACAGAGAGAATATGTGAGATCATAGTTAAGAATCCTTCAAAATTAGGACTCTGAGTGTTCCAAAACATTGATTTTTCTTGTTATAATGTTATGATAATTAATTTGTCTAATTTCATAGTCATTTTTTTTATTTCAGGAGTCTCTGTCTATCATTGTTTTTCCATATAAAATCCCGACTCTTTTATCAAGTGTGTATCTCTTGTTATAAAAGAGAAGGAGGTGAAATAATGGTTGAGGCCCTCAGCTTCCAAAATGTCCTGCGTTGCAATATTTCAGAGTTTCCCGCAATTGTAGTGTTAGATGGTTTTATGTGTTAATACCTGATAGAACATAGTAGGAAACTGGCTTTTTTCCAATAGCAATAGCTTCAGTTTCAGGTGGCAGAGATTCAGGATTAAGATTGATAGTAGTCTTTCTTCTTTCTTTTTTGTTTCCTTTACGGCTACAACAGCTTTTTGGCTTGCCTCCAAAATGTACACTTTGCCACCAATGGCAGAGAAATTGAAGACAACAGCATTTCAGGCTTCAAGAATGCCATCCTGGATTTATTCAGCTCTCAAAAACATTAAACATTGTGATATAGTTCCATAGCTAATATAAAATGAATTTAAGCTAATATATTTCCTCTACCCTTATTGTATATGATTTGTGCATGAGCATATGTGTGGCCATACATTTGCACACTCAGACACATATTTTCTGAAAGTTCCATCCTTCAATGATGAATCTTTAATTCTTCTGCTTACCAACTTATAAATATTTGATATTTTCCCCAAATCTTTCTACATTAACATCAGAGGAACTATTGCTATGGTAATTGTAAGTGCCACTTAAAGTAAAACTGAAAGTTCTGATAAAGGAACTTATATTCTCCAAAGTATTACACTGAGAATAGTATTTTCCTTAGCTTGTATATTTATAAAGGGCTATATTACACTAATGTGGCATGAATCCAGATTTTGTTGAGGAACATGAAATCACAGAAAGAGATTGTGTTGTTTGATTCCAAGAGGGAAGAAAGTCTCATACACAGATAGCATGCATAGAGTTTTCCCATTATTGAAAGCAGGCTGATGGGTATGTACTATCAAACTGTGCATTATCTGTGGGTAAAGTTGTGGGTAAAATTGAATTTCATTCAGTACAAGTGGGAAATTTGCGAATAACTGAATTTTGAGATATGCGTACGTTCAGAATTAATAAGTATGTTTTCATTAAAACCTATGTCATTTCAATTTAACATTGACACAAAACATGATTCCTTAAAATGTAGATTGTGATCAAAGCAAAAGTTATCGTTAAATCTTTGTTGTCATATTTTTTTCATCTCATCATTGCTTTTAGTTGTAGGCCTTTGACCACCAGATGGTGAATCTGAAAGGGTATCAGATGCTAAAGACTGAGATATGCTCTTACATCATGATGAAGATGTTAAGACAAAAAGGTTGTGTAATGGTACTGCGTCCATCCTTACACACACACACATCCACACATACACACACACCAGAACAAAGTTATGTCAGGGTTAAGGGGAAATATTGTCACTCTGGTGGCATGCAGTTTCTCTTTTATGGGATATATTGCAATTCATAGCACTTTCCCCTCTCTTTTCGTTTTGCTCCCAGAATGCTCACTTTGTTTATTTATTTACCATATTTGTATATCGCCCTTCTCAGCCCGAAGGTGACTCACGGTGGTTCACAGTTGGCAACATTTGATTTACCAGTTGGCAACATTTATTTATTTACCAAATATGGTAAATAAATAAATGCTCACTTTTTGTGTTGCTGTGCTCTCAGTGCTGTTTTGGCTTCCATGGAGCAAGAGGATGCGTAGCTGCTTATGCCAAGATCGAGAGTCTAGCTGTTGGAACTGAAATATGAACTTTGAATGGATAATGTTCAAATGTAAGGCAAAATATTTCATTTCTAGACCAGCTGATTATGAAATCGAGGGATTTACATTTTGGACGACCCTAGGAACCTCTGTTGTATATGTCAGCTTTGTTAAACATGTCTGTGTAATGTTAATGTTTAACCAAACTTTATTACATGTTCATTTTTGTAAACTTTCAGACTTTTTCATGATCAGAATTGCACACTTGGTTTTGGTTTTATGGGAAGGAAAATACATGATTGCAATAGAGAACAAACTGTAGTCTTTGGTATTTGCCAGTTGTATACACTTTAGTTGTATACAAGCAGTGTAGCATTTACTAGCCTTCAGTTTTATTTGGGTATGTAAACTTTACCAACAACGGAGATATGATCTTTCAGGATTAAAGTACTGAGAAATGTGGAATATTTTACTCATCCAGTCAGTTTATTCTGTCCCACAAAGTAGTTTTTTTCTGAATGGGAGACACCTTGCAGGCAACAGAGCTTTGGGTTTTGTTGTGGGAGCATGTACACCTGTAACTATAAAGTAA